TTGTTAAGTTTTCCATTTCGGTCCCTTGAAACTTTATTTTTTCGCAACTTTGGGCCCAAAAACTCATGAGGCCCAAATTAAAGTCCAATGAGCTAAAATTTATGTTTTTGATCCCTAGAAAAGTGTTATTTTCATAAAAGTCATATTTTTATGTGAATAATACCATTTTATCCTTAGAGAACCGAAAATGTCTTATTTTACCCAAATTTTTGTTATTTTTTCAAAAATGACACTTATAAGAATTTTGACTTTGTTTTCACTTCTTGAGCCTAAAGACCCTTAGATCTTTCAAGTAAGTTGTTTATTATGTTATTTGTTCATGTATCCTTCACACTTTAGCCATAGATTCCGAGATTTAGCAAATAATATCATATTTTTATAACAAAAACCAAAGAAATCACATATAACAAGCATACACACATAAATCAACAAACAATACTTGTATTCTCCCCCAAAAACATATAGAAATCAAAAACAGGGGGTATGAAATCACCTTGGGTTTGTTGTTTTTGTTTTTGTGAATAAATGATGGAGGTTTCGACCTTGATAACTTCTTGAAGAGAGTTTTCAGACTATGAGGTTTTCTAGGAAGTATGATCACCAAATGAAGTCATATAAGGGCTGTTCTAGCTTAAGAATGGAAAGCAAGACTTATGTATAACACTAACTTACCAATGATGGTGATATAAGTGAAGGATCTTCTTGGAAGCACCATATATTCTTCGAAAATTTGGATGGAGAAGAGGATGTTCTTGAGAGAATTTGGAAATGTTTGAGAATAAATTATGTGTGGGGGTGTTGATACTCTTGGCCGAAGGTAGAAGAATAGAGGGGAGAAGTAAGATGAAGATGTGATAGATGCATAGATGTATGAGATTTGCTTATTTGTTTATGGGATATTTGCATGGAGAACCACCATGAGATTATGAGGTGGCACCATAATATCTTCCATATTAGTTTTTTTTTATATCTTGGGCCAAAATTTTGGGCTAAGAGGAAGGAAATCGATCAATTTGGTCTACTTCTTATCTTGGTTTGAAGTTTTTGAGGTCCATAAAGAAGTTTTCGTCCCGTTGGGCCCTTAGGGTGGTTCACGGCCCAATTAGCATAAAATATTAGGTTTGTGGCCCCTTAGAGCTAATTAGATTTGTTATGGTCCAACAAGGCCCATTAAAGGTAAATTAATCCATTTTAGGCCCATTATGGCCTAAAATCTTAAGTTTCATGAAAGTGGGTCCAATTAGGTCCCATTTAAGGGTTCCAAGCCCAAAGTAGTCAAATTTGAAGCTTATTGGTCCACTAGGCCCAATAAGGAAATTCTAGTCCTCAATGGATTTAAACTGAGATTTTTAGGGTTTCCAATCTTTTGTTGACTATTAGAAGTGTTTGCATAGGGTGATTGATGGAACTTTGGTGTTATTGAATAAACATCATGCATACTTTCAAGTTTTAGTCACAAATGTTATTATTGTTAATGTTTACAAAAGCATTAGAATTCCTAGTTGTGACATGTCTATAAAGCACCAACTGTAACAACCCAAAAATCACAACTAAAAATTTCTTTTAAAACATTACTAACTAACTATGGTGTGTACACTGCAACCTCTCTGAGCTCCTCTTTTGAAAACTGAGTACCTGAAACCAAAACTGAAAACCGTAAGCATGAAGCTTAGTGAGCTCCCCCAAACTACCAGATACCATACAATAACATATAAAGCACATACTGGGCCTTGCCCACTGCATCAGACTGAGGTCCGGACTAACTGGGGCCTTGCCCCTGCATCGGAATGAAGTCCGGAAACTGACTGGGACCTTGTCCCCTGCATCGGACCGAAGTCCGGATTATCTGGGGCCTTGCCCCCTGCATCGGACCAAAGTCCGGAAACTGACTGGGACCTTGTCCCCTGCATCGGACCAAAGTCCGGACTAACTGGGGCCTTGCCCCGTGCATTAGATTGAAGTCCAGAAACTTACTGAACAAAGCATAACGTAAACATATAAACTAGCATGAACACACATATACTACATACTACATCGGGTCGTAGCCGGGAACACATAACACATAAATCCTGTCTGAGCCACGAAGGCATCAAACATACTAACTGCTGCATCGGACCGAAGTCCGGAAACTACTGCTAGCTAAACGGGTCAGCATTGTGGCCTTAGACCCATTCCTACTGGAAGGGAACTCACCTGAATTGCTGAGCTTTGTTGATACCCTCTGGCTGCTAACCGACAACCTTCTGAGCCGCTACTCCTCTAGCTCTTTGAACTACCATTATCAAAATGATACTTAGTCTGACAGCCCTTCAAAAGTCAACTAAGTCAACTCTGGTCAAAGTCAAAGTCTTGGTCACAGTCAACCTTCCAGGTTGACCCTAATCGCCAAGTTCTTAAGCTTTGAAATCCCTTTCATTCGCGACTCGACTCGCCGAGTCTAATGATTTCCGATTCTTGATCTGCCCACTCACTGGGTCCCCACTCAACTCACTGATTCGAATCTTAACTTGAAGGGTTTGGGGTTTCGCAACTTGACTCGCCGAGTCCAAGGCAATCTTCAACAGACTCGCCGAGTTGTTCTTCCAACTCGCAGAGTTCATGCTCATGATCATACAACTCGCCGAGTACACCCATGTGACTCGCCAAGTCTCTTTATTTCTTAATCCATACAGTGGCTTTTTGAGCCATGCAGGAGCTCAAATCCAAAGATCCATTCCTCTAGAGCCTAACCCCTACGTAAAGTGGCAAACTTTACGTGTAACCAAGGAGCTATGGGCTTATAACACTCTAGGACTAGGGTTTGTGACAAAGGGGCTTCACCAAAAACTTATTGGCCTAAACTTTATGACTTTCTGGGTTATTACCAACCTAGATCTGCGGTAGCAACCTCATATCTACTCCAAACTCGAAATAGATCTCATCCATACTCAAAATGCCCAAAACTCAAATATAAGATAGATCTAGATGCACATAAGCCCAAACAACAAACTATTACCTCAAATGAAAGCTCCAACTAAAGTAAATCCCGGATCTACACCACTTCTTTGTAGCAAATCCTTTGATCTTCAAGCCCTTCTCCAAGATTCTCTCCTCCAAGGCTCTATTCTCTTAAATAATGAAGGATCACTCAATTCTAAGGTTTCTGGAACTCAAAAGGGGAGCAAAGAGGCTGAGGGTGGGTTATAATGTGCTTTATATAGGGTACAACCTCTGGGATTAGGGTTTTTCTCGCCCATACCAGACTCATCGAGTCCACTCGCTGACTCGCCGAGTTGGTCACTTACTCAATGGCCTGGATCCCGCTCCGAATCGTCGAGTTCCTCCCTGGACTCGACGAGTCGACTCTTGATTTAGAGCTTAACATTTCTTTTCTTGGTCTTCCTGATTCTGGGTGTTACACCAACATTTGGGATGATTTTTATGTTAGAATCTCTTCTGGAAATGTTGGGTTTTAGATATCAAGGATTTTGTGTTTATTGGTTAATCCCATAAATCTTTAAGCTTTGTGGATGGATTTTTAAACACTTGGAGCAGCCCCAAAAGATAAAGTTGGAAACTTTATCCTTTTTGATAACATTTGAGTTTAGATCTGAGTTTTGGAGTCCCTGGAATCATAGGAACAGCTAGATGTATTAAGCTCGGGAAAATACGGCGTGTTGGTTGGGGTTTTCCCGGCCATCTGATTGTTATAGAAACACGACGTGTTTATTAGTGCACACGGTGTGTTGGGTCAACATGGATTGTTGACATTGATCGATGACTTTGACTTTGACCAAGTTTGACTTTTAAGGGTATTTTGGGTATTTGGGTTTTGATGAATTTGATCACATGGTGGTTATAGGCATTTGAGTCTGGAGCTAAGATTCGAAGTCAGAACTTATCAGTTCTGCACTACTCGAGAGGTGAGTGTTCCTTACTATACTTGTTGGGCCGAAGGCACCAAGTTCGGCCCTTTTACATGTCTTGTGCTTTGAGTAGTGCGGGCCCAATACTATATTCCACACCTACCTGTACCTTCACTAAGGCTTTACCTGATAACTCCAATTTGTCCCAAAACAAATCGTTTCTCACAGGCTACCGCATAGCTTGAATCCTAGGCTAACCTAACATTTCCTCCATCCATATCAAACCATAACTCAATCATAACAGGTTGCCTTATGCATGCAAATTATACATAAAACAAGATCAAATAGACTTTCGAATAACAGACTCTACCCTAAGACCACAACCATACAAGAAACAGGAAATAAGGCCAATTCAATCATTTTGAGGCTATACGACCCTAACCGTATACAATTTTGAAAGCATACACATAGCAAGATTCATACAATTATCATAACTCATATATATCAGTATAGCATGACTAACATATTGGGGAAACTACTTACTTGGCTCGGCCGATCACGCACATTGCACTCTCCTCTTTTCCATTTTAAGAAATTTTAACTTTGATTTTTGAAATTGATTTTACCATTTCCTTAGTTTGATTCATGACACACCCGAGAGTGTGCTGGAATCCCTCAAATTAAGACTCTGATACCAACTTGTAACGACCTAATTTTCAAAAGAAAATTTTAAATTATTAAATTTTAAATTATCAAAACATTTCCAATTAACCATAAAATATCAAGAATAATTGTTTTCAAAATTCATACATCAACAAACTTTATTCAAATATCAGAGTGTCCCATAAAAACACATGTGATAGTGCATTCCGCGCCATCAGACATTGCCCTTGCCCTTAGGCTCATAAGTACCTGAAATGAATCAACAATTTGTAAGCTAATGCTTAATGAGTTCCCCAGAGCATACCCCACACAATCCATATAAATCACATATACCATATTATCTATAAAGACACATAAACCACATAAGCCATGCATACAAACATACAAGGAAGCCCTGGAAACCCTCTAGGGTCTTACTCCGGGTGCCATGGGAACCCCCACATGGCTTAGCCCAATGTCTCGGGACCCCCCCCCCCCAGGTCTTTACCTAGGATGCCAAGGAAACCCTCCAAGGTCTTAAACCTAAGTGCCTCGGGAACCCCCCAAGGTCTTTACCTAAGATGTCGTGGAAGCCCTCCAAGGTCTTGTCCGAGTCCTCGATTTGTCTAAGCAACTCGTCGAGTCCCTTTAAGCTTTAACCCTTTACATGTTCAGTCCTTTCCAGTGGATTCCAAGGCTCCAAACTATAGATCCCACCCCCTATGATGTAGTTACCACGTAAACTTGCAAACTTTACATGCATGCAAGGCCTTAAGAGGCTAAAACACTCAAAATTAAGATTTACACAAAGTTTAGGGCATGGATGCGGCTAAGGCTAGATAAAGCGAGCAACTTTATGTCCTTAGAGGTCTAGGGATGTCCAAATCTAAAACCCTATCCTCATAACAAGATTAAATCCATTAATGTCACCATTATGTACCAAAAGTGACTATTTACCTCCTTAAACTGAGATCGAACCAACTAAAGATCAAGTTAGCGACTTTATACCTCAAGATTGTCGTTAATACAAAGTATATGTTGGATCTACTGCTTTTCTCTTTACTCCTGTTCTTCAAGCTTCAAAATCCTTCACAACCACACCAAAATCAGTCTCAAAAGCTCTCTCTCACAATCAAGAAGGTATAAGGCTCGAATCAGGGTTTCTCTAGGCTGTAAGAACGATGAAAGAGGCTACAAATGAGCCATAAGTTCTTTAAATAGGGTACAAATCCCTTTACATTGTCTACTCGTCGAGTCGGGCCTTCCGACTCTCCAAGTAGGTTCTAAGTCCTACATCCTCATAAATGCTCTCTACTCGACGTGTTAGAGCTCCCTAACTCGTTGAGTTCCAGTCTAAAACCCTAAATTACTTAGAAATTAAATGATCCTGAAGAGACGTTACATTAAGACATCATAGTCCATACGTGGAAGGAAACTAAAGACTAAGATTATATTTTTACGACTCTAAACATTCCAAAACAACTGAAAGGACAACTTATATGATTTATAGTAGAGCATACTCATAAACACCAAGCTTATGAGACCAAAATGAATACAAATCCATGGATAACACGATCTAAGCAAAAACTTCGTTAAGGTCAAAGCTTTTTATTTCCCAGTGAAGCTTGATGGCAAGGTACTTATGTATCTAAAGTGATTTACTCTTCTAAGATGGTCTCATCTCTTTCTACTTCCTTCAAATACACCACAAAGCATACTTTCAAGCTTAAAATGCACACACACAAGGAACTGGGGTTTGCTTGGGATGAAAATGGGGATGAAGGCTGATGAATAAAGGGGTCTCAAAGAGTTAAGGATGTTTAAATAGGGTCCAAACCCTAAGAATTAGGGTTTTAGTCACTACCATGTACGACCAGTGTACCAAGCGCACGGTCAACGTACATGATCAAATATGGATGTTCATTTAAATGCCATTCGTAACCAATTTGCAAACAATTCCCATACTAAGGGTCAAAATATAAATACCTGGTAATCGAGGTGTTACAACCCTCCAATTCTGTTACTTTCTATTCTGGCTAACAAGAGGTTCAACAACCCTATTTCCCATACCTCCATATCGTCGTCCTTCTCTCTCTCTCTCTCTCTCTCTCTCTCGGTTCCGTCTTATTTTTCTCTTTTCTTGGCCAAACACCACATACACATACACAAGGATTAAGTTTGGGTTAAGACTTAATTAGTTGGGTTTTAGCGGCTTAGGAAGGGTCAATTAATACATGTACATGGGTTTCCATATAAGGGGAAAAATCATGTAGAATCCTGATGCATAAAATCCGAAAATTACATAAAAGGTGCCTATATTTACTTGCAATTAATTATTTAGACCGTCTATCCAAAGTCTTACATTTTAAGTTTTTTTTAATCCCTCAAAACTATTATCTTTTCATAACATGATTTTATTTTGACAAATTTCAACCCCTCGTCATTATTTTAATTAAAACACGAGAATTAAAATAATTAAATTTGAAAATATTAATATAGAGAAAAACGAGATGTTATAGAAAATGAAAACCCTAAAATATTACAAAATAAAATTATAGAATTACAAATATGAATTATGAAATAAAATTAAATGAGGATAAATACAATAACAATAATCAATGTGAATACCATGATTTTGTACAAGTAGAATAAAAAAAGACAAAATAATCAATACTCTTTAAAATATGATAAAAAGATAAGGATACAAATAATTAAAACACATACACACCAAAACGATACGTGCATAATAATATCCATGTTGACATGAAGTAAATACAACTTCATTATATAGTTGTAAAGTTGTAATGTAAGGACCAGTTTGAAAAATATTTTTTAATTAGTAGTCAATTTACTATAAAACAAGTGTTGGAGGGTTGAAATAAAAATATATGTATCCACTTGCCAAACCCTATCTCCCCCGTTCCTCAAATAGGTCGCCCTACCTCCTCTATCGGTGCTTCTTGCTCCTTTTCCGAATTTTGCTAACATTTTTCTCTGCAGACGATTCAAACCCTAAACCCTACATCCATCACAGATCCAAGGTCAGAACAACCCTACTGCTTCAAATTATTTCTTTGTTGTTGTATATGTAATTGTATCTGATTTGGTTTGCTTCAATTGTGAAACCCTAATATTTGAATTCTCTCGATCTGTTTGAAATTCCAATAGAAATGGGCGAAACAGAGATGAAGGATACCGACGCTTACGAGGAAGAGCTTCTCGACTACGAAGAGGAGGACGAGAAGGCCCCTGATTCAGCCGGTGTTAAAGTCAACGGCGAAGCCGTTAAGAAGTAAGTTCCGTTAAGATATTATGCTTGTAGTATAATTTTATGATAAAATTTGACATAATTATAATTAATAATTCGTGGATCTGCTATATGTTTAAGCTGTGGAGCTCTTTTTGTGAAGTGTTTGGGAGGATAGAAGTTAATATTTGGGCTTTGAGTGTTTTTTCTTGATTGGTTTGAAAGCTGAACTTATTATATCTCAAGTTTCGATTCTTAACCATGTTTTTGGAGTTTAAATCACAACCTGGGTGGTTGGATTGCTTGAAGTTTTGGTTTTTATACTATTTCATCAACTGTTTTTGTTCCTCACTTCAGACATCTGTAAAAAAAGAATATATTTGTTTATGGATGAGGAGAAGATACTAATTTTAAGATAATCTATTGACATGGAGTTGAAACTTTTTGTAGAGGTTTATTTGGAGTAGGGATCTGAGCTATCTTGGTTACAATCTATATCCTTGATTAATACAAAATAACAATTTAACTCTAGATATTGTTACAGCTAAACAAACTAAGTTCTCTTTAACTTACACAAAAGTGAATAAAATTTTGATGAACAATATGTAAATTTCCACATGAATATATGGTTATATTCATATCAGAACGAAAAAAGACTATTGTCAAACATTTACTTGGTAGTATCTCAACTGGTTTACTCTTTCAGAGGGTTGATTTGTCATGTGGTGCTTATTGAATTTCAAGAACATCTTTGAACAACTAATTTAATGTTACATTAGGGATTGATTGCAGCCATACATGCATAATCAAACCTTTTTATTGTAACTGATCCATTTTTTTTCAATTAATTTTAATTGCAGGGGCTATGTAGGAATTCACAGTTCCGGATTTAGAGATTTTCTTTTGAAGCCAGAGCTACTTCGTGCTATTGTGGATTCAGGATTTGAACATCCTTCCGAAGGCAAGCTTTTTTCAAAACCATTTAAAAGACACTTCACATACACACTTTCATCTTTCTTTAAATGGGAAACCACTTGCTTTTTTTCGAGAATCTTTAATAACATTTGGTGTCTGTTTGCAGGTAAATAACAACTATCACCCCTATCATTTGGAGAAGTGGTCAGATTTGGTAATTTTTTTTTATTGAGGATTCAATTTCTTTGGTCTTCATCAGTGCAACACGAATGCATCCCTCAAGCTATTTTGGGCATGGATGTCATTTGCCAAGCAAAATCTGGTATGGGAAAAACTGCTGTTTTTGTCCTTTCAACCCTGCAACAAATTGAACCTGTAGCTGGTCAAGTAGCTGCCCTTGTTTTATGTCACACAAGAGAATTAGCTTATCAGGCATGTATTAAATTTTATATCGACATCTTCTAGAAAACTCAAATCAATTAATTTTCTGTTTACTTATATTGTTTTGATTCTATACATCACAGATCTGCCATGAGTTTGAAAGATTCAGCACTTATTTAACTGATATCAAGGTAGCTGTCTTTTATGGTGGTGTCAACATCAAGATTCACAAAGAGCTTCTCAAAAATGAATGCCCTCATATTGTTGTTGGGACACCTGGAAGGATTCTTGCACTTGCTAGGGACAAAGATCTTGCTTTGAAGAGTGTGAGGCATTTTATACTTGATGAGTGTGACAAGATGCTCGAGTCACTCGGTATGCTTTCATCCATACTTATTCATTTCAATCACTGTTTCAAGATTTTAACTTTGTATTTGTTTATGCTTAAAATGTTGATAGACATGAGGAGAGATGTGCAAGAAATTTTCAAGATGACACCACATGACAAACAAGTAATGATGTTTTCAGCAACTTTAAGCAAGGAGATTCGACCAGTCTGCAAAAAGTTCATGCAAGATGTAATGTCCCATGGCCAGCTCCTCTACTTCAACCTTTTCATAATGTCAACATCTTTTCACATATTAATTGAGGGATTGGAGAGAGGGTGTGAAAGTAGTGTTTTTTTTTTTTGGGTGGGGGGTGTTTGTTAAATATGTTTGTTAGTAAGATTTAGCATAATGGTGATGGAGTCTCTGATTGAAAAGCATCTGGAAAAGTGACCAATGGGGATCTTATTAGCTTCTGAAATCTGAAGGGTTTCTCTCCTAATACGCTTTTACTATGATATTTGTTCCTTTCAGCCAATGGAAATTTATGTGGATGATGAAGCAAAGTTGACTCTACATGGTCTCGTACAGGTACTCAATCCTTCTTTCCAATGGAATCAACCATTCCATTCCATTCCTTTTTTTGATTCCAGTTTTAAGTCTTTTTGTAACTAACTATTTCTGCAGCACTACATCAAATTGAGTGAGCTGGAGAAGAATCGAAAGCTGAATGATCTGCTGGATGCGTTGGATTTCAATCAGGTTGTGATATTTGTGAAAAGTGTAAGCAGAGCAGCTGAGCTCAACAAGTTGCTTGTGGAATGTAACTTTCCATCCATCTGCATCCACTCTGGCATGTCCCAGGAAGAAAGGTAGCTTCACCTTTCTGTTTTTTTTTTTTTTTTCTTTTTTTAAATTGATAATATTAATTTGGTCAAACTTTTCAAGGTTGACTCGTTACAAGGGCTTCAAGGAAGGACACAAGAGAATCTTGGTTGCAACTGATTTAGTTGGAAGGGGTATTGATATTGAACGTGTAAACATTGTCATAAACTATGACATGCCTGATTCTGCTGATACTTATCTCCACCGTGTAACTTCTCTCTCCCTCTCTCTCTCTCTCTGTTTTTTTTTTTTTGATAAAAGAAATCTGAGGGAGGGGTATTTTGGTCATTTGACAGGTTGGTAGAGCTGGGAGGTTTGGAACCAAAGGTCTTGCCATCACATTTGTGTCGTCTGCAGCCGATTCTGATGTTCTTAACCAGGTTTGTATCTGTGGCCTCTATAACCAGAATTATTATTTATTAACAATATAAAAAACAATCATTGATTGTTTTTTTGGTTTTGGTGGTTTTAGGTTCAGGAGAGATTTGAGGTTGATATCAAAGAGCTTCCTGAGCAGATCGATACTTCAACATATAGTAAAATCCTGTTTCTTTTTATTTTATTTTTTGATGTTTAAAAAAATATATGATAGTATTTATACTGACTTGCAATGATTTGGTTGCAGTGCCATCGTAGGAAAGCTTTTAGCAAAGAAGCAAACGATGGGATGATGTCAAGTGTGCTCAACAGTGATGATGATCATTTTGAAGAAGATGAATGATGATATTGTTTGCTCCTTATGTTTTATTATAAAACAATTAGAAACATTGTTGTTGAGAGTGTCAAGGGGATATCTTGTCACAAGATTTGTTGAGTTTTGTAACATCTATAAACTTGTTTTCCTAGTTCTTATGTAGCTCAAGTAGGGAGAGTTGTTTGTTGTTGACCTGTTTTTATTTGCTGAATGGTGCAACTTATGATGCGTCAAGTACAAGTTGATGTAGCGTTAAAAATCTTTTTCTTGTTTGATTAGTCGCAAAAAATTTCATGATTGTGAACGTGTCTTGTCTAAATGACTGAACAAATTATAAGTTATTTGGTCATACGATGAGATCATAAGAGCAACTTGGGTAAACTATGAGATAATGTTAGTGTTGGAAGCTAAATTATAAGAAAAATACACCAAAATGAGGGTTTTAACTATAAACTGTAAAAGTCATTGTTGAAACTGTATTATATGATCTTGGAAGAATTTTACAAGGTGTTAATTAGGCCAACTATATTATATGATCTTGGAAGTCGGAAGGTATAGAAGGCTTATAAGATGAAGTTGAGGTGGTTTTTGTCAATTACCACAAATCATTTTAGGATCAACAAAATGGTTTTTTTAGACGAAATAAAGAACTACAATTCATTTTAGGATCAAAAGGAAGTGGTTACCTAAATGTGACACTAGTTAAATGTTTATTTATGCAAACATTCTTCACTCTTTATGAATTTATACAACGTGATTTTTTTTACCCAAGTATTCAACAATATTTTCCTTCTTTTACAAATTTATACAGCCATGTTTCATCTTTTTATCAACTTATGCACTCGGTCTTTCACTTTTTATTTACCAAATTATGCAACGATGTTTCATCCTTCATTTTTTTACCAATTGATGTAAATGACTTTTTTTCCTAGTTTACACAATGTTTCATTTTTCCTACTAATTTATGGAGCAATATGCCTTTTTTAGTGTGTGTGTATATATATATATATATATATATATATATATATATATATATATATATATATATATATATATATATCCCTTTTTTAGTATGTCATCTTTTTCTTGTTTTACCAATTGCAACAGTAATCCAAAAAATTTCGTCATATGATTTATGCAACAACGTATTACTTTTTACCAATTTATTCAAAATGTTTCATTTTTTTTTTTATGAATATAAGCAACCAATTTCCACTTTTGTTTACCAATTTATGCAACACAATTATTCACATTTTCTTACCAATTTATGCAACAATATTTCACTTACCAAGTTATGCAATAATGTTTCATTTTCTTTTAATGGTTAAGCACCTAGCTCGGTAAAATATTACATCTTTTGTCCTAAAATGACAAGTCATGGTATATCTCGTAAAAGAAAACTACTTTCTTGCATAAATACGCATATAACCCAAGCCAAAATCAATGATATTAACAACAAACTGATTAAGAAAACTTGCAACATGACGAAATCTCATGTGTAACAATTGGAATATTTAGACAAAGTTCACAGCTTTTGACTCGCACATCAATTTTGAATTATATTTCTATCAATTTTTACGTAATTCATATCTTGAATTACATATACTTTTATTTCAGTTAGCATAAAAATATCGTTCAACCAACACATAGTCTACTTTTAAATAATCCAATCAATAGTAGCACAATCAAATCTTTATTTTATTCAAGTTTGAGTTCAAAATTTATCTTAACTATAGTTTTCCTACGTGTAGAATTTATCTAAAACTTTTCCCTCATTAAAAAAAACATACAACAGAAAACGATAATCCTATTTAATCATTGTTTGTGAAGTAATAGTACCAAATCAGATTACATTCTTTAGTGTAAATTCCGAACTAAAACATCTAATTACCAATTCAAACCCATTGTTCTTGATCACACTATAAAACAAAAATATAACTAATCTATCAAATATTACAACCACACATTCAACAAAGCACAATCACAGTGTGTGCCACTCAGCCACCAAAGGGTATTTATGTCATTTCCTTCAAGGAGAAAAAAAAAATAACAGAATTTATAAAGATTCTGGACTTGTGGAAGGTCTGATTCTCGATGGCATCCGCATTCTTTGATTATCTTGGTTTCCAAACATGAAGGTATTGTTTCGGGGCGTAATGGACATTTTACTCAAATTCATATCAAAATCATCATCTTCACAGCTCATGGGCCCTCTTCCATTAGAGACCCCATCATTGGCTTCATCATCATCACTAACACCTTCCTCATCATCATCATCATCATCATCATCATCTTCATCATCATAAGTTGTTCTCACCATTGACCAGTATATGAAATTTGGTCTGATGAAACTGTAGGTTTAATTGAAAATTATTATAAAATATTTCTATTACATCAAAAAAAAAAAAAAAAACTAACCTGTCAGACTTTTTCAACAAATAAGGATCAAAAGGGAAGAACAAATCAAGCCTTTCAAATCCACCGAAAGCTCGAGATAATTCGGATTCAAGCAAATCATGAAAGACAAAAGTACCCTCAACATGAAACAAGCCAGCTGCTTTAGCTTGACTCAAAAACTCCTCTACTATAGATGGTAAGCACACCTACATATTTAAGAAAACTGATTAAGGGGTTGAATTTGTAGTTTGATGATAACTAAAGGGTTGAATTTGTAGTTTGATGATATTTACCTCTAACGGGTTCAATGCATGCTTCAAAATTCTCTCTAATGGCATGTTACAAAGCTGAGATTTTAGCCTTGGGAAAGCCAGAATTGATCTCATACGAAAGCATAGTACATACATAATCGCCTGTGTATATAAAGATATTGCAATCACATTAACAAGAAATAGCAATGTACTTTCATTTCTTCCTTAAGAAGATAAAAGAAATACACAAATATATATATAAAAGTATGTTGCTATTTCTTGAATTTAGCCTCATATATATTTAAAAAAAAAATACCTGGCATCCAGCATAAAAAACTCGATGAACTTTTGGATTTATTTCACCACTGCTCAGGTTTTCGCAATATTTAGAACACCAATCCACCAAACTGAAACAACAAACAATATACAAAATTTGTTTGTTAATACTTAATACTTAATACAAAAAATATAAATGATAAAAGTTAAAAAAAATAAAATAAAATAACCTTTCCAATACGATTGTGACATAAGAAGCAGACAAGAACTTTGCACGTGACAGGTAACTTGCAAGATAAGCAACAGCACTCATTCTGCAATGCAAAAAACAACATATTATGATAATTATTGTTAGCTAAATGCCACATCAGCACCTTAACCAGTCAAACTTTGACCAAGTCAAAAGCTTTAATGACATGACTTGCAATCAAAAGTTTAGTACAAATTATAAATATTTCATTGCCATTTCATGACATTAAGCTATATATTAAATATGATCATAAACTTTGTGAATTAATTGACATAATTTTCACATAAACTGGTTGAATTTTTGGGTATATGAAAGTAATAAAAATTAGTAGGATTACAAACCTCCAATCTTGAGGATAAATGGTGCTTTTAAAGATTTCAACAAGTCTGCTAACGAATAGGGTCCCACAGTCTTCAGGGTCAAGTGAACAAGCATAGAACATTACAAACTACAATTTTACAAAACATAAAATTTAATGGATTAAAAAAAAACAAGAAACAATCAGAAAAAAAAAAAAAGGATTAGTTTGTTACTTGAGCAAACTTTGACTTGTATGCATTCAACACAGTGCTCTGAAATGACTGAAGAAGCACCTCAAATACCTAATTCAAAATTCAAGTTATAGATAAATAGAAGATATAAATAGTTTAAGTAATGTAACAATTTTTTTTATCTTGTTGAAAAGTTGTAATTTGAAAAACCTAACCAATTATAAAACTCTACTTTCACCCTTTTTCTTATTTTTCAAAGTAGAATGTTGTGATATGAAAACATGAAATTGCTGTTTCTTTCATTAAACTATAAATTGTAAATAAGTGTTTGCATAAACAGAAAAAAATGAAGCACCTGAACCAATCTGCCATTTTTGAAACATGATTGAAGGTGATCAAAGGTAAGAACCATTAAAGTATCCAACTTTTGAGCAACTACATTTCCCCAAAGAACTTTTCTTCCAGAATATTCTCTCTGAGGCTGAAGAAAAGTCAACGATATAAGTCAAAAGAACTCAAGAATATTGTAATCAAACACTAAAAACTAATACTTATCCAATAAACAATTCAATTATTTGGATTCTTCAAAGTTAATATTTAAAATTAAATTACCTCATCCATTTCAATCTCAGTTTCATCTACAGGTCTAGCCATATCTTCAAGCTCCATTTCAAAGATGCCTTTACTTGGATCATCAAGTAAAATTTCATCCCATCCTATCTCCACCTAAATCAAATTCATTCAATCCCATTACTTTTATAATCAATATACAGTTTTTAAAATCAACTACTGAAATATATATTAAAAAAAAAATAGACTCACATCTAGGTCTATAAGCCTATTCACCAATTCAAAAAGCATAGCATTTCCAACAAGCTCTCCCATATCACCACTCTCCAACATTAACATGTTCTCCACATACACAACCATTTGCTGCAAAAGTTGTAATAAAGTTTATAAACATTCCCACCATAATCACATTATCAATAAAAAAAAAAGGAAACTTTTAACTTGTAGAATTGATAACAAGTGTTAATATTTGACTTCTTTTTCGACTTTCGAGTTTTGCCTTATGTGGCATTCAGACAACGATGATGTGGCGTATAGATCAAATAGAAATATGTATATTAGACTCACAGCTTCTTTGGAGAAGACATTTGGAACCCTTTCTCTGACAATTTGCTCCAATCTTGAAGGTGCTAATGGCACTAAATCAGCAATACCTTTGAGTGCAGAATGTACACGAGTAAGAACTTGATCTTTTTTTGCTAATCCACGTGGCTGCTTCAATATCTCCAAGAAATTGTAAGGTGGAATGAAGTTGCTTACAAGCATATCCAAACACAAATCAACATATTTTCCACTTGAGGAAGCCTGATATAAAGTGTAACATTAAAAAGTTAGGATTTTGAACAAGAAAATGTTTGTTTTAGAAAAATATGAGATAGTAATTAGTAAATGTACCAATGCTACTACTAATTCGACCAATGCATCCATCACATCTGGCCCATAGTTCCATAAGCTCATTCCACATATCTATAAAAAAAGTACAATTTATTAGTATTATTGTTATCCACAAAAAAAAGAAGTTATAGATATAGAAAATTTCATCTTACAGAAGAAAGAAGAGAACGGTGATGTACAACATCAATGTAGGAAA